CGCCGCCGCGCGTGCGGCTGGTGGCCCCGCGGGTCCGGAGGGACGGCTGGCTCTCGGAGCCTCAGGTCCGCAGAGGAAATCCGGCCTGGCCCCGATGTCACCGCCGCCGGCGCCGCCGAACTTAGAGGGAAGGGGGCCTGCGGGGGGCGAACAGGGGAAGGGCCGCGGGTTTGGACGCGGGAGGAAATGACCCTTCACTGGCCCTGGGGCGGCCGCCGAGGGGATTCCCCACACCGCGGCCGTCCGCTGGACAGTCCAGGCAAGTCACCGCCTCTGAATGTGCTCTGGTATCCAGACCTGTCACCGACCCTTAAGCAGCGCTGTGAACCGGTGCCACCAAAGTTTCCAGTTTGCAGATGGAGGAACTGAGGTTGGGGATGGGGACAGTGAATATAAATAAAAACCGAAGGTCTGAGATTGGTAAGATCCTCATTTATATTTGGGGAAACCGAATCTCAGAAAGGTTAAATGACATAGCCAAAGTCATACAGCTCGTAAGAGACAGGGATTTGAACCCACAAAGCTAAACCCAGGCCAATCTGAGTGCCCCTATGCAGGCACCATTTCGCTCAGGTTGTTTTTAAATGCTGTGCAAAGTAGCATGGTGGTGTTACTGTCTTTTACATCAGAGACTGAGGCAAATCTTCCCCCAAGCCACCCCCTCTTCTAGATGCCTCGACCCTACCAAATTACCAAATCACTTTACAGTGATGCCCTGCTGGGTGTGGACTGGAGGATGGGGTGTTTGAGGGAGGAGGGTCGGGGCTTTCCTCCGGGTCCTGGTTCCCAAGGTAGAAAGGAATTCTTCTTCCACAGTGATTCTCTTCCCTGATAAGAGTGGCACAGGTACCCCATTTTCCAGATGGGAAACTAACCACCCAGAGTTTGTGGTAAATCCGGGTACAGCTGGGGTCCCTGAATGCTAGATGGCCCCTGCCTTTCCTTTCTCCCATCAGGCTCACTGTGGGGTTGGGCCTGCGCAGATGGGGATAGCCAGAGAAGACAAACTATGATAGCAGGTAGCCCAGGGCGTGACCTAGCCTCAGAGGAGATCAGGGAAAGCTTTCTTAACGAGGGGCCTAAGCTGCAATGAAGACATGGCTGGGAAGGTTGCAGGATGTGGGCAGGGTGTCCAGACCTCCACCTTCCCTCCCAGCCACCTGAGGCCTCAGATCTATGCTCATGGAGGTCCCAGCTGGTGATCCCAACTCTCTGTCTGGGCTCTAGTGCTCGCCTGGTGAAATGCAACCTCAGTTTCCCTGTCTGTAAAGTGGGGAAGATAGTAGCTACTTCTCAAGGTTGGTGCCGGAACTAAGTGTAGTGGACCCAGCCTGGGGCCTGCACCCAGTGGGTGTTAGGCAACTTCTCACGGTCTTTGATGGTAATTGGTGATACCTCTGCTATACCCTGCAGGCTTTTCCAGATCCTTATCCAAGGGACCAGCGTCCAGGAAGTGATAGCCAGCAGCGCTCCAACATGGGCAGAACATGGCTGAGTTGCATTCAGGCAGTTCCCAGCTCTCCCACCTGACCCGACCCCCCCCCCCCC